CAAACTTCTTTGGGATAAGGCAAAAATAGAGAGATGTATAAGCTAAGGGTTCATGTTAATATATCATAGATATACATATGCAAAATAAAAGCCAGGTACTCCCAGAACTTTTAACTCCATGGGTGAATTGTACAATTAGGGTAGAGTTAGCATGTCTCTTGATTTGTTATCCTGCCTCTTGATTCATGACTTGATTTATTTGTCCTGCCTTGGTCAGGGGGTTAGACTAGGTGACTTTGGAGGTCCCTTCCAGGCCTAGTTTTCTGTGACTCTATTACATGAACTTCCTGAATTCTCCACCTATTCTGATTTAGATGCATCCACTGAACCAATCACAATGGTATCTGTGTACAAATGATACTACCTTCTTTAGAACAAGTCCTATGTTAATTCTATGCCATGGTCTAATTTCTTGCCTTTTATTTTTTTTACATGTGTTGTCATAATGTTGAATTTGTACTCTGTTGCAGATTAATATTCTCTGTTTTGTTTCCAGTAAGTAATGGACAGATATATTTATATTCATTTGTCCAAGAAACAATTTGTACATTCTGAGTATAGTTATGGCAATAGAAGTTTTCCTTTATCATCATCTGAACTCTTAAAATAAGATTATTTATTTTACTTTTTTGCAAACCATCTCCATTATTAAAAATGTGGCATGAGATATGGTTGATTGTGTATGTGGTCAAATATATTTCTTTAATTGTTATTCTAACCTATATGAACTTTGGCTTTTTTTGTATGACAGCATTTCTTATGGCTCATATAAAAGACAAATTTGGTTAGTTACTTTAGGCACACAAAAAAGAGCCCAGGACTGTTAATCATACAAGAAAAATATGATGTTAGAACTCTAAAGGCAGTACTAGCTCTTGTCAGATAGAGGTTTTGGGGTCAATGTATTGCAAGTTTTGTGTTAGCTGACTTAATTGACCTTTCACCAGCAAATGGTTTGTTATAGGGTTATGATTCCATTATAATAGGAGCAGTGTAAACATAGGAAGTTGCAGTCTGCCATGGAGATGGTTGTGATTAGTATTATGGTAGCAATACACTGGCCAAGAACACACTGTGCTAGCCACCGTAGAAACACGTAACAAAAGACAACACAATTTTATTTTCTAATCTGCTCTTCTCTTTATTGTTGTTCATCCACAGCTAAAGAAGTTTGTTTTGTGTATTGTATTGGGTTCTTGTCTAGTCTCCAACTCAGTACCATAATTTTATGATACAAAAACAATATCATTGCTACAAAATTGTGCTGACTGTTTAAAGATTAATTCCACCTAATATTTTTATAGACTGACTTGCTTATTATTTTGCATTTCATTACTTTATTTTGGAGATATAGCAAGCTTTTTCTTGGCAGGAGTAAAAGTTTGTGAAGCCAAATGTAGTTTGAAAATCTCTTCATGTTAGCTACAATGAATTAGTCAGATATTTCAATTAAAAAAGCATAAGGAACTGTCTCTAGAATATATTTCCCTCACCCCATTGAACCAATGTATTTTAATGCACATGTAGCCTAATTCCTAACAAGAAAGTCACCAGAGGTGGTCAGTCAGGCAGTTTTTGTAACTATTAAACATACTGCAAATCATGTTATATGTGAGGAAATGCAGTATGTTCATCTGCAAATTGCTTTTGTTTTCCTAATTTTGTATTTGAACATGGATAGAATCAAAGTCAAGAATGCTGTCAGCAAAGTCAGTTGAAGTCGAGTAATGTTCTAATTGTGATTAAAATTAATTCACTTGCTACCTTATTAGCAAAATTGCTGCCTCAGCACCTTTTATTCCTAACTTTCATGAACAGCAAATGCTCTGCAATTCAAAATCCCCACCATAATTATTCTTCCATCATGCTTTTGTTACCTTTGTAAAGTTAAACTTCATATATTGCACCACTAATTCCAGTTACTCCATTTTTTTATTGCATAGAATCCATTCATGGATTTGCAGAAATTTCATGTTTTTAATTGACCTCATCCAATTTCCTAGTCAGATTAGGGACTATGCTGTCACAAATTGACGCTTACCTGTCTGCTGCTTTAATTAATATAATATAATATAATATAATTAATTATAATAATTAATAATTATATTAATGATTAATTATAATATAATTAACATAATATAATAACCTTTTCTCCTAATGTCAGTCTCCTACCCACCTATATTCCCTTATTATATTCTTATTTACATACATTTTTATTCATCTGTATTTAAAATATACATTGTTTTTCACTTCTTTTTTAACTATCTCTGTGCATGTGATTTAGCACTTTCTTTTGTTTTCTTTTATGGACATGATTTCATTTGAATTTCAGTTCAATGGACATAAAAAATACATACAAGTTTTAGTGACAATAACAGAAGAGTATAATGTATTATTTCTTTTTCTATGTTGTGTACATAATTTAATGTACTTTTAATTATCAGTACAGCTGTATCATTAATACAGTAGGATTTTGTTCTGTTGTCATCTCAGTTTTAGTATTAAGAGCACTGCTCAGATTAACCTTAGTTGTCAGGAATTTTAACTGAGCTGTTCATTAAAAAAATAAAACCAAACAACCCCCCCCCCCCCCAACCCACAAAACCAACTACTTCCTTCCCCCAACACAAAAGATGTTTGTTATACTTTAAGATAAGATGTGAAAAGTGTGGTAAGGTGTATAGATGGCCTTTCAGGATGAGGCCATCCCATCAATTAAGGTGGTGTTCCCCAGGGATTGGTGCTTGGATCCATGCTCTTTAATATATTAATTAATGGCTTGGATGAGGCAGTGGAAAGCTCTGATATTAAGTTTGTAGATGATACCAAGCTGTGGGGAAATTCAGGCACACTGGAAGATAGGGTCAAGATCAAGGATGACCTTGACAGGCTAGACTCACGGGCAAAACGGAATCAGATGAGGTTTAACAAGGATAAGTACAAAGTCCTTCATCTGGGTAGGAAGAACCCTTACCACAACTACACAATGGGTGGTGGCCCACTGGCTGGCATAGCAACTGAGCGAGACCTGAAGCTCAAAACAATGTAAGTGGTGGCAAGAGTTATCCAATAATGAACAGGTATATCTTTTTGTCAGTATTTGACAGCACTGATTTTTCCTGTGAAATTAGTTTGAATTAGTTTGAGGGTGCTTAACTGGAGGAAATGGTTTTGTGTGTGATGTCATGAAGCCGGTGTAATGAAGTTAAATCCAAAGATGTGGTTGAAAGGTTGACGGTCAAAGAACTTAACTGGGTTGCTTGATCGAGTCTCCAGTTCTCTGATTATGAGGAAATTAAATAGCATTACGCAAAAGATTATCGTTATGTACTCCAAAAATACATTGAAAAATAAACACTCAAAGTAGGGGAAGCCAAATTTTAAACTGAGTCCTTAGAAGATCTTAGTGATGACTGACTTCAGAAATAAATGCTTCTTTTCCTGAAAAGGTTCTGCACAGTAGGTATTCATCTATGTAAGAGGAGGTATATTTGGCATGCTCTTGAAGCACAAATGCTTTGAAATATGAGCAGCAGCAATCTTGCAACTGTTCCGCTGGTATGTTTTTGTGAGGCTCCAGAATTTGAAGCATATGCCAGCTGTAATGGAAACTTCATTGTTTAGGGCACACAGATTAATGAAGAGAGGCCTGGATATGGATTTAAAGTAGTGGGCTGCAACTTTGTTAACATGCATTGGGTGCTATCCTCCTTGCTTCTTTAGACTGCCATGTGCTAACCATAAGTAGGGTCAATGCAGGGGTTTTGGACACCTACCATGTAAATCATAACCTGAGATAAATTATTCGCAGTCTACCCAAGTATTTAACTCACCTCACTCTTTTGAACCTTCTTACCAAACCCTAAAGGGGACAGAGGTTACCAAAGCAGTACTCTGTTTTGTGAAAGTCTGGCCTCACCAGTGGGTTAACTGAAAGGTTCTCCTTTTTGCCCTTTGTCTGTGCTGGAAACTAGCCTTAAGTTGTTATAACAAAATAAACATTGCCACAAATGATAAATTTGAGTCTCAAAGTCTTCCCTCTCCTGTTTTAACCAAATTGTAGTGAAGAAGTAGAAAACAACCGCTAGGCCTCTGAAAGACCAACAGTATCCTGCAAACATAGCATTTCCAGTGCAGCCACTTAGAGGCAAAGGAAGTTGAGACTAAGAAGCTCAAGGGGCCTAAGCAGAGGCTTCATTTCATGAGGACTCATCAATAGGCCAGTCAGCTCTCATCTCCCTCTGGCTGGTCAGTAATAGGGGGCTGGGATGGTGCAGGTGCTAAGGCACATGATTGAGAGCCCAGAGGTTACCAGTTCAAGGCTGTAGCAGAAGTTCTCATGGTGCAGCTCTGTCAGATTCCAATGAATATGAATTCTGCTAAATACCGTATCGCACAAGGACACGAAAAAGGAAAAGAAGGTCAATAACATTCAGGTAAAGTCTGGAGAAAGAGAGGACAACCTATATGCTGCTACACGTACCTGACCTTTGTTCTGGGTCAGTCTGCCTCACTAAAAGTCTGCTCAAGTTTTTCAGCTGGTGAAATGGTCTTTGGCTTTTGTTGTATTCCTGTGCGTAAGCTTGTCTGTGTTTACTATGAGTGGAGGGAACACACCCAAGGTCAGCAGTGCTCCTGTTGCTGTTCCACACCTTTGTGAATCAGTACATCAGAAGTTGGTTCCATGTCAAAATTTGGAAATAACTGTTGAGAGTGTCTAATTTGATAGGACAAAAATCATAACAAAAACTGGGAAGGTTAGTTTGACAGATTATGTAAGAGAATGAAGTTATATGACTTGTTCTGTAATATGCACATCCCATCTTTCTAACCTTTGCAAGAAAAATTCCCAGTCATTTATTTTTAAGAAAGCTACAATTTGGAGACCATGTCCAGCTGTCTGTCAGTCTTGGGTTGTGGTCTTTTGCTTTGAAACGCAAATTTCAGAATTTGTATTTTCAAACAATAAGTTAACATTTTGATTTTTTTTTTCTCCTCAGATCTATCCAAGAATAGATTAACTGAAGTTCCTATGGAGCTGTGTCACTTTGTGTCACTGGAAACACTGAATCTGTACCACAATTGTATTAAAATTATTCCAGATGCCGTAGTGAATTTACAAATGCTCACTTATTTAAATTTGAGGTAAGTTAAATTTACTGCTTTACCTGTGCAAATTCAAGCATGCTGGCCTCTCTCATCTCATTTTTGTGCTTTTCTTTGGAAACTTCATTGACTCATTTAATTGCCTACTATATAAGAGAGAAGCTGTAATGATGAAATAACATTTATTTCTCCTGGTGTTGTCTCAGCAAATCATGATGCTTATTATATTAGCGTAATATTGATGGAATTATTCCTGATCCCTTTGTGACGGTAATGAACTTTTACATGTCTCGCATATGCTGATTTTGATAGCAATTAACACATGTAGAGCAAATGTGCCTTGCCTTCATAAGCTTAAATTAAAAAAAAATCCATGTTGATATCTACAGCATATGCCTTGTCTTCACTACAACATGGTTGTGTTACAAATTGTGAAAACATTTACTCATTATTTCCAGAAAGAAGTATAATTTTGGGTCATATCAAAGACACTGTAGTTTTGAAAAACTAGGATACTCATGTAAATTCTGTGTATTCATAGTAATACTTTATGGATGTGCCAAAATGCTTAGATATTTGAGAATTCTTCAGGGTAATTGTTAACAAATTTATTTGAGTTTAGCCAGTTGGTGGTAGAAGACATTAATACTTTATGAAGTAAGTGCTAAATAAGCAGTTTTTAGTAGGGTCATTGTATAGTTATAGCAGCGATAGTCCAGGGAATATACAAAAAAGAGAAAATATTTCCATTTACATAATGGAGTTAAACAAAAGTAATTGTTATAGCTTCAGCTAAATACTAGGTAGATCTGCTTGTTTCCCAGAGGAAGAGCATTTTGTACTCATAAGCTTGTTTGATGTGTCTCCCAAAGACATGGTTAGGCACAGACATCCAGTATAGAATACTACCGAACAAAATTTGCTTCTCCAAATTAATAAATTAGAACTTTACATATTTCCTATGATTCATAAACATTAATCCTCAGAATATCCCTGTGTGGTAAAACAAGTTTAGCTAATAGATAAAAATATGAAAATATATGGCAAGAAGGGTAACTAGACTAGTGGCTCAGTAGTAAGCCTTGAAATTTCTATTCCTTCTGAAGGAATAGAAATTCTGCCCAGATGTCATCCGAGTTGGACTTGGTAGTTAATGGAGCCTTTCCAGATGGGAAATAAAGAGAAGGGAACCTAAAGGTAGAGTAGCGAGACTCCCCCCTCCCCCCATGGAACACATGCTGGCTCTGGTTCCCTCATGGCCAAGTAATAGCAGCCCTAGCAGCAGCTCCAGCCCTGGCTGCAGGGCTGGGGCTCAAGCTGATGCTACCACAGCTGCTGTTGTGTAGCTGAGCCAGCATATGTTGTGGCCAGAGCCAGCATATGTTGCATGCTCTATGCCCCTGGCTGGAGGGGGGCCAGAGCTGCAATAGGAAGGTAAAGGGTGGTAGGGAGCACAGGCAGCAAGGGGAGTGACAGTGTGGGGAACAGGCAGGAGGAGCCAGACACTGGGGGGTGGGGGCAGATGGGGAGAAGTTATACAGGCAAGGGGGCAGGCGCTAGGGAGGAGCAAGCACTGGGGAGAGGGGCTCAAGTGGTGGTGGAGGAATAGGCAGCAGAGGGCAAAAAATGAGAACTGAGGTGCATTTCTTTCACACATAAGTAGATAATTCAACACTTTGACAGAATGTGAGAAGAACTTGGTGGGTTTCATATATTTTATGGGAAAGCAATCTAGAACTGAACTATTTAAATATTTGTTTAAAAATACTTTATTTCCCTGGTGCAGTGGGGGTGGGGGGAAGAATTTAAGACAACCCCCCAATAATTGGATTTTATCGATGGATAATTATAACAAATTTATAAATTTTCCATGTGTAAAATCTAATTATTGGCAGGTTCTTTTAAATTTGAAGTTGTCTTGGATTTGGGTAAATACATTACTTGTTACAGTGTTTGTGCTGTAGGGGAGGATGTCAGAATTTAGTTATCTGAGGACAGAGTGAAGGTTGATTTGCTGTTGAGGGAGTCAAGATTGAGGGTAGTGATTTATATGAAATAGACATACTTTGAGGAAGCCTGAGGCCCTAAAGGGTGGGCCGTGGCTATGCAGGAGTTTTGTTGTTTTTTTTTTTTTTTTTTTACCTAGGCTACTAGGTTCCATTTTCAGGTTTGTAGGTACTGAGGACATATTTTCAAACTTACAGTATGTTGTCATTTATCTCGAGTTTTGGCATCTGAGAAACAGCGGTACTCATAGTCATTCTAAATATTTTTGTTTCTGTTAGAATTTAGCACTTACGACCGATGAAATGCTGTCACAACTAGACATGTATAAACAAGTTGGTATGAGAAATATACCAAGTTTACATCTTGCACATGTAATTGCATTTTGGAATTATGGCTGGAAAACTCATTGCAAAAAGTATAATTTGTGTGATTTAGGCATATCACTACAAACCAAGAACAACTGCAGACAAAGTGGTAACATTTAAATTTGTATATAATAGCCTAATAAAATAGGGCCACAGTAGATTATAGAATCATGAACAAGAAGAAATGTATTAAAATTCTCATTTAAGGTTGTGTACCCACCTCCCACCTCCCTACAACATAATAGTCTTCTGAAGTATTTTTCTCTCTCATGTGGGAATAGACTTTCTCTTTGTTTGTTGACCACAATTAGGATTCTGTAGTGGAAAGAAAAATGCTTTTGACTTCTACAAATGTATTGCATTCTCACAAGAAAAATACCATGCATTACAGACTCATATTTCTCTTTCTGGCTTAATAGTCATGCTTTCTGATGTTATAGAATAGGGCCCACAGGCCAGATCTGGTCCATGGAGCCACAGGGCTTTGCTTGTGCCTGTGCCTGCCCATGCTTGTTCTTATGCCACTTCTCTCTCTCTCAGGCCCCTTCCCTTCCCCAAGGCCATGGTATTGATGCAGGTTTCAGCCAGAAGGGAACTGTTCTAGGGCCATGAAGATGGAAGCTGTACCCATGCTGTTGCTGCTTAGTGTACTTTACTAATAGATACAGTTTATATATTTATATAAATATTTAATGATAATTTATCAAATAATTATGATTCAGCATTTCACATTTCTCCTCATGGATAACTTCTGAATTTTGTAGGAATTCAAACATTATTTATCATTGTAGGTATACCACTTGACCTTATTTTTCTGTTTCAGAGCATGGAAGAACTATTATTTTTTTCATGTGCCAGATTTTTTTTTTTGGTCTAGTGATAAATATAGCGCTTGGAAATGCTGTTTTAAGATCTATCTATTAAGTAGGAGAATAAGAGTAGTACTTTGGCCTCCCATAATAGCTTGTAAATAGTTTTGTTTCCTTGGTTGAAGGAAAGTAGTGTTTCATTGCGTTTGCTGAGAGACCAGCCAAGCAAATTTTATACCCCAGATCTTCAAGGTTTAATGCAGGGGCAGGCAAAATATGGCCCTCAGGCTGGCTCCGGCCCACCAGGCCATTCTGTCTGGCCTGCAGGGCACCTAAAAAGTTTAGAAAATTAATATTTATGTGCTTCTGGCTGCCTGTCAAAGATGACAGGAGCCAGGGGCAGTAAGACCCAGGGGAAGCTGTCAGGAGTCAGGAACTAGGCCGGCCAGCCAGGCCCCACCCCCAGCCTCCTCTCATGGAAGCCTCTGCCTACCTTGGCTTTCACTGCTCCCCTGCACGCCTGCTCCAGCACCACATGGACCTGGGCTGCATCACTGGACTGCGGGAGCATGGGTCTGTGCTGGTACTCCAGGGCCAGGAGCAGGAGGGGGTGTGTGTGTGTCCATGTAATGAGGGAAGGGGGGAGAGAGAGAGAGAAGTGAGAGAGGCACAGAGTATGCGTGCGCGCGCACGCGCGCCCATAGGGCAAGTCCCGCACGCACCCCACCATACCCATGAACCCACACCACCCTCACACTGCCATACATGCAGGCACCCCCTCACATCCCAGCCACCTGCACCCCACAAATCCACGCACATCCCCCCCCACATGCTCCCTCACCCCACATCCCCCACAACCTCCCCATACCCCACACACCCACAGCCCCCCACAAAACTATACCCACCCCATGCCCCTCCCAATTTACAAGAGTAAGACTTCATTTTAAGCTATTGTGCAATGACCTCTGTGTACACTACACAAACGCATGTAAATCAGGACAAAAACATTTTTTGAAATCTAATTAATGAATGTTATAGATGTTTGATTTTTACAGTATAATTAGGTATTTTTCTGGTTCTGAGATAGCAAAACCCCTTGCTGAAAGGAGTATTTGGGGGGCAAGGGGAGGGACTTCTGGTGGTAAAGGCTGGAGGCTAAGGGGTGGGACTTCTGTTCCCAAGCTGGTGACCAGCGGGCGAGGCACCTGTCAAGGGGCAGGACTCTCCATGTGGCTCTCAACAACTTCCCAAAACTCAGTAAGCAGCCCTCCACCTAAAATAATTGACCACCCCTGATTTAATGTATAATACACATATGAGAAAATGTTGCCTTCCATACTGAGTTACCATGCATAGTAAAGACTCGAGGCAAAAAATGAGAACTGAGGTGCTTTTCTTTCACACATAAGTAGATAATGCAGCACTTTGACAGAAGATGAGAAGAACTTGGTGGGTTTCATATATTTCAGGGGGAAGCAATCTAGAACTGAACTATTTAAAATAAAATATTTTAAATATAGATTTAATTCTTGGTTTAAATATTAGAAAAATGGACATAGAGGGATAGAGTGACTCTGTCATACATCACGTTATTATATATGCATATCTACAGTATCATATGCATAAGAACAATTTTGTTCTATTGGGTCATATTTTAAGAACCAGTGAAGTCCCAAAAATGACTAGACATCATTGGAAGTCAGAAATTGCTGACGTTTCAGTACCATAGCACACGAGTGTCAAACTGTTCACATGGCAAAGTATTGTACTTTGGAATGGCTGTTAGTCTCTGAAGAAGAGGCCATCAGAGAGCAGATATTTTGAGGCTGTCTGATTGACTCAAATGATTAATCCCAGC